AAAAATATTTTATATGGTAAATTAATTTTTTTTTAAAAATTTTTTTTATTAATTATTAAATTTTTTAAAAAAGTTCTCCAAAAAAATATAAATTTTTTTGGTTTATCGTGTGTGCTTAATACGCGACTCTAAATCAATTTTATTTTTTTTGTCGATGTTATGGTTCTAGTTTTAACAGAAAAAGTCTTTTGTCTTCCATCTCAACTAGTAACTTTTTTTGTAAACATTATCTGCTCAAAATAGCGTCAGAAAAAGTGAAAAGTTCTACTTATTAAGAAGGTAGATCTCTTCCTCCGTCCATTCTCTCGCGTGAGAAATCGTATTGATTCATAAGTAACGTAAACACATATAGTCGATCAAGATCAGTGTTGCCAAATGGTCCGCATTTTGCGGACAAATTTCAGATTTTGGAGTTTTTTCCGCAATTTGTCCGCATATTAAGCATTTTCTGCTTTTGCTGGTTTTCGTTAAAAACTCATTATTATCATGCACTGAAATTTATAATTAGTTCTTATCAACGACAGAACTGCTTATATTTATTTATTCTAATCAAAAATATAGTCAAAAAACAATGTGTCAAATAAAATCGAGATTTACATTTTTGTTTGTTGGTCTCTTATGTTTTATTGAGTAAAACCACAAAGTGCTAGAGAAAACATTTTTTTGACTCTCTGCTCCTGAAAAAGATGAAGTTAGACCATGAAAATGCATTTCCGTTTCTTTTTCACATTCTGACAAAATTTTCCGCATTTCTGGCCCGAGCATCTGGCAACTCTGGTAAACATACTCCGCAGCTAAAATTTCTACAACTAGTCACTATCGTTAACGTGAAACTAATAGAAAGTAGCGCTTGGTTGTAGAATAGTTCGACCTATATAGTCAGTGTTTTTCCGTCCGCCGTGTAAGTATTCAAACAATGAGCTGCCTTGTCTTTGTTCTATATGGAACAAAGACTCCATTGGACAGATTTCTCTTAAGCATCACTAGATAAACCCCACAGCTACTGCGAAGTTGTAAATAGTCAAACATTTTGTTTTCTATTGATGTGAGAACTGCAAAAATACTGATTGAATAAGCATTGAAAACGGTCGTCAGACAATTCTGTCAACGGAAGACTTTTATTTCTGAGGTCAAAAAATGCTAGTTCTACTGGATCCTATACTTTTATGGTAATGTACGAACTCAACGATAGAGGATACACGATAAAATTCTTACTATAGGAACGTGTGATATTTTCTAATGCACTTTCTATTCACCTTTTTGTTATGCAATAACAATCCTATTTAGAGAACATATTTCACATAGCAATTTTTGAAAATTTTTCTTTGTTTTTGATGGATATGTCAAAGGATATGCTCACTACTCTTACATCGTTATCATATTCAGAAGACTCTGAGTGATTTCAATTTTGATGGAGCTACCGTCAAAATTAAAAACTGAATAAAATGTATCAAATGGAAGAACACAATGGCTTGCACATGAAGGAAGGTAGGAGACAGGATGCATCGAGACTTCGTATAAAATTCTATTATTTCCTCCCTAGTGAATGTTCTTGAGATCAAGTACTTAGCTACTTGCAAATTTGCTAAACTGCTTGTTTAAGCACTTATCAAGCATTTTTAGATTGAATACATGCCAAATGCTTGGAAGAACTTAAAGTACCTTTTTTACCTGTAAAAAACTCCAGGTACCCTGGACATTACGTATCCATGTACTTTTCTAAGTACTTAGTCTCAAGTACATTCACTAAAGTTATAGTTACAAGAGTTCTATGATAAAACGTGAAAGAAATTTTTTGATAAATCGAACATCAATCACTTTCCTAAAGGTTGCTGTTATAGGATTTTTCAATCTAAATCTATCTGTCTGCTTAACAACGAATATAAGTGGTCCAGAAACGGCTCCATTTTTTATTAGTTCTAAAGTCTTTCTCTCTTATTTGATAGAAGGTTTATTTTGAGCATTCATGAGAAAACATCTTAATTGCTTTTAAGTCACGTGCAAATGAACCAGTCTGCTCAATATTTTTGAAAGAAGATATTTAAGAGAAACAAGTACTCTCAGATCGATGGAAAAGACACCTAAAGTTGATGAGAAAATTTTTCTTTTTAGATTTGTACGATCGTCGAATACTTGATTCATGTTCTGATTTATTCTTTATTAAGTTACTTGATGGTAAAGGCTATGGCATGATTGCAAAATGTGATATTTCATATGGATCAATAATTCTTACTGAAAAACCGTTAATGATTATCCATTCGAATCAATTATCAAATATAAAAGATGAATACGAAAAGATTAGTCCAGAGAAGAAACATTTTATTGAACAATTATATGGGTACGATGAAGATTTGTTAAATGTTATAAATATGAATTGTTATGTGTTAGAAGCGGATACTCGTTCTGCTCTATTCTATTATTTATCATTTATTAATCATTCGTGCGAACAAAATGCGTTTTATCGTTGGAATTTTGAACAAGAAGAAATGACTTTAATTGCTGATAGAGATTTAAAGTGTAATGAAGAAATCTTAATTAGTTATATTGAACCATTTCAGTTGAAACGTTTAAGACAAGAGAGATTAAGTTTTCAGTATGGTTTCTATTGTCTTTGTCCGTTATGTCATCGACAATCTTTTGATAAAGAGCATGATCAAAAATGGAGTGAGTATCTAAATGAATATAAGACAATGTTAAAATTAGCTGAAACGGATCCAGCAAATTGTTTAAAAAAATGTCACGAATTGTTTATGTTTATCAAACATGAATATCACTCGAGTTATGTCCAAATGGAACAGTTAGAAAAAGCATTGACATACATGGATCTATGCAATAGTAGTCTATAGATTAGATTAATACATTGTAAAACCGAAAATTATTAGTGGAAGTTTAGCTTTTCTGTACTTTTTATAATTTTCAGTGATTGATGCAAACTAAATAAATAAGAAAATCACATCTCATTCTTTACATTCAATTTTCTTTAAACAAGCATGGAAATGATGATTTTCCAACAATAAACAACTATCAAGTGAAATGTAGCAGCACTACTGTCGTTGTAAAAAATTATACTGTTACGTCAACGAGAAGATACAATGAATTTTATAGCAACCTTTGCACCGAATAATAACTCAATTACTTGTAATATCAACAAAATGTAAGCGATGTAAAACAGTCTTAATTAGTGACAGTGATAATTTCTTTCCAAGCTCACGATTAGGGACGAGGATTTTTCTATGCACGCTTTTTTCCAAAATTATGTACGATTTGCTGTTTTCCGTGTACAAAAAAATCTTTTGACATTTTTGTGCACGGTTACAGAAATGTACGCAAAAAGGCAGAAATGTGCATGAAGATGTTTTGTGCACGGTTTTTGAAGAACGAGGTTAATCTATATCCTATTGTTTCATTATTAAATTTTTTTTATTACCAAAAATATAGCATGTAGCTATTTACAAATAAAAATCCTCTTTTAGTATTCTCACCAAAGTTATGATCGACTTAATGCTTTTTCTGTCTTTTCGGGACGTCTACGCCTTTTTCCTTCACATGATTTTTGTTTAAAGAAGAAATAGTTAGAGTGTATTGAGAACTGTGGGTTGAATTAATTCTCAAACAGATGAACTTCACTCCACATCAATTTTCAAAATTGATCATACAGTTTCAGTCGATAAGTCTCGTTTGTATTAAACGAGACGTCTGTTCATAGATCATCTTATTTGTTTAGGTCATCTGCATGTAAAACGAAAATATCTTTTACTCGTTAAAAAACCATGCACAGAAACGTCTCCGTGCACCTTTCTGTAAACGTACACAACAATGTCAAAAGATTTTAGTGATAGACTTTTTTTCAACAATTCCGGAAAAAAACGTGCACAAAAAACAGTTTTCCCCACGATCAGCCATTTTATCCGAAAGAAAGGTTGAATGCAATCGTCCTCTAATTCAATCATCGGCCTAGAATTGAATGAATGGTGAATATTGACTCGAATGTTTTCAGATCCAATCGACACGTCTCAATTTTATGTGACCTTAACGCGATTCGCGGTCATAGTGGACAATTTTGATATGCTATACGGACATTCGGGTTTTTCTTGTTAAAAACAAGTATTTTTAGTTTAGTTTGGCTACCCACACCGAAAAACCTCTATTTCAACAAAAAGCAAATGACTGCACATAAAATGTTTTTGTCGATCAGAAATGGTTGAGACTCTTGCTCGACATTTCGACTCCAAAACCGTTTATATACATCATTCGACATAATTTGACAGAGTCAGAAATGAGACAAGAGGCAAAATGTATTATACTAAGTGTGAGTTCTAAATACACTGATTATTTAATTATATGATACTGGAAATGATAATATGATGAAAAATGCATAAGATCTATGTTTTGAATTATGGAAACATTAACGACTGACTTATTCATATAGAGAATTTGAATTTATTAGTTATAGTGACTGATACGTAGAATGAAAATAAGATGATCATGAGAGTGGTAATGTTATGTGAGAAGACAGTAAGATGAAAAATGTTTGTTTATTAGAGTATGCTAGCTTCACGTAATGGAAATTAATAGAACACTTACTGTTTCAGTAAATCAGTTGGATCGACGGTGATCTCCGTCATTCTTTTTGTTGCTGTTGTTGATAGTAATAAAAGAGGAAAAGAATTTTTAAATAAAGAATATTGTTTTTATATTTAGCTGCTTAATTTATACGAAAAAATTTACATAATTTAATTGTTAAAGAAGAAGAAAATAGGAAGCCACACCTGAAAGGAACGTTATAAGAGTGAAATAATGATGACTTAATACGCAGGTAGATCTCTGAATGAATAGAATATAAATTAATACCTGTCAAGCAGTATTTATTAGTTGGATTTGTGAGGAAGGAGAGAAGTATACATGATAATCTTGGAAAAGCGAAAAATTTTATTCGAGAAAAATATATTACTTTTGATGCTGTGAGCCAAGAAAAAAGTGTCCGAATTAGCTGCTATAATAACCATTCTTTATATCACAATGTTGGAACCATGAACGAGATACATATTAAGCGTAGTAAAATGAAGCTCCATTCGCGTTCTCTTGATTTGGCATCGTAGGACGACTATTTGAATTTAAAGTGCTGCCAGATTGTGATTGATTCTGTTGATATTGCTGTTGTGCTGCAGCCTGTTGTTGTGCTTGTGCATGCTGAAATTGATATTGCTGTTGCTGCTGTTGCTGTTGTTGTTGTTGTTGCTGTTGTACTTCGATCAAAAACTGTTTTACTTTCATTTCGTTCATTACATACTGTTGACCGTTGATAGTGACAAGATACAACTGTTCTCCAGCTGTTGTATTATGAAGATTTGATGATACATTTGCTGCTGTTGCTGGATTATCAATTTCTTCAACAAAAACGCCAATGTAATTCTGATAAGGTGCGGTCATTGGATGATGAAAATGTGGATGTGCATGATTATGATAAAATGCCTGGGGATGAGCAAATGCAGCATTTGGGTGATAAAAACGTGGTGCTACACCGTACATCATCTGATTATGAGCGTAAGCCATTCCAGGATGGATAAAATGGGATGGCATACGAAAATTATTAAATGAATTATTGCTATTATGGTGAGAGCCTGCTGTATCTGAACGTGATTGTCGTGAACGTGAGAACGATGAAACATCGTCTGGCTCTTCCACAATTGGTGCTGATGACGATGTGCCATTTTCAATTTCTTCTTCGGCATCCGATCCGAGTTCAACAATACGATATTGACGTGATGAATTTCGAATTAAACTTTGATCGAGACGGGCGGCATTCTCTTTATTTGGATCTGAATGTTAGAATAAAGTTTAAGTTGCAAATTGACACTAACTATAATACTTACTGATTAATTTCTGTAAGGCATAATATAAAACTTCTCCCCCCTCGGGTGCTCGACGAATAAAATCATGTTTTGACAATAAGGATAAACCACGTCCTGAAAATAAATTAATTGTATTAAATTTCAATTTTTTGTAACATGAATTCCTTACCATTCATTTCAAATTTTTCACTAATTATCTTTTTCAATTCAAATTTTTTACATTGAACTTTAATCCATCTTTTAACATCATGTGATGACCAATTTTCGACATCTTTTCCTTGACTCATATCCTCTGTTGAACTTGAATGATGGCCGTTCCCCATTGGTTCTTCTTCATTTTTTGTTGTGGTGTTTGATAGTGGTGTTTGCGTTTCGTGTTTTACTTGAACACGTTCATGAGTTGGTGTATGATATTCATAATGTCCATTTACATGTGGTATTTTATATGTAGCTGAAAACGTTTTATTCATTTGAAATTACTGTACCACGCCTGGATTTGAGTACCTAAAGTTGATATAAATAATAAAATTGAAGAAAAAACTGATAGAAGACAAGATATTCGAGTTCTTTTGAGGCAATGAATTACTTGTTTCCAAAAGACAGAACAAACAATATTTGTTAGAGAAATAATAAAAAGAAATTGATGAGTGAGCGTGCAAGAGTATAATAATAAAACATATTTCAAAACCAAATGATAACATATTCAATGTCTCATCTAGTGTAATTATATGTACATATCATTGAATTCAAATGGAGAAAAGGAAAGACAAGACGAAACGTTCTGTCTTTCAATCAAAGTGAAGGAACAATCAAAAGACTATGCTGAATAACCTATAGTCTCATACATCATACTAATAGCTGTTTTTAGACTAGAAAGATGTTTTTAGTTTTTTTAACTTTGATATTCATAAGAGGGAGAAAGTGAAATTGACGCTTTTTTTGTGTAATATCAACGAAGTAATTTTACTTACATCGATATTAATCTATTCGTGAGTGACCACTTGTTATTTACTGATGATCCATGAAAACAAGATACTAATTTTTTTACAAATAAGTTAGTTGTAGGTAAAACGAACAATATGAAAGTCACTATAATTATATAATAAGAATGCAACGATTTATATATCGTACATGTGCCTCTATTGTTGGTTATAACCTTTATCTAAACAAAGTCGATATACAATCCATCCATGCATAACGAAAAGATGTATTACTTCATCATTTATGGGGCAATAATTTTACGAAAAAATATTTTGTTTTTTATTTTTATCCTATTCATGCCTTAGTATGTAGTATGTAAGAAAAGACGTCATCATATTTCTATTAAAAAGTAATTAAATAATTAAATTAAATTGAAACAAAAATTTTATGTTTAATAAAAACTTAATAATATGTAAAAGAAATCTTTAATCTATAAAGAAATCTTCCGAAACCCCGTTGTGTTTAGGTCACTGTTCATTAGTTTACCAAATTGTTAGATAGAATATTCAATTTATGATGTATATAACCGTCAGTATGAGATTTTTTGTTTTTTCGAAATGAACTTTTTATTAGTTGGAGTTTCGGATGTTAATTGAAATTTTCATGTTTCTATTATATTAATAAACAAAAATCTAAGATTATTTTCGTTAAATTAAACATTACTTGCTTAGTCTTGATAACTACTGTACATATGCTAAATATTATTCCTTTATTAGAAGTATTTCGAGCCGGCGTTGGTAATGCCGATTTTGTTTTGAGTTTTGATTGATTATTACTCGTTGGAGAAACGGGGACTTTCTCTGATATCTGAGATGTCACATTTACTCGCATTTTTCGGTGTCTACAACTCTTTCCTGTATATTTTTCTCCAAATTGTGACCAAATAACTTCGTATACTGAGTTTAATTTAAACCCATCTGAGATATATTCTATTGTATCAAAATTCTGCACACTTATCCATAATCTCTCCTATTCATAACATTATAAACTGTTCTATCTAACTTGTATGTGGATATGATCATATTTTCTTCAAAACACCTACGGCCTAGGAATAGGGTTTAACATATATAATAGATATAGGCAATATTGTCAAGATATTTTAAGTACACTGAAGATCTTACGCATATTAAAAACGGTTAGGATAGAAAACAAAATCAAATAAGTCCGATTTTTACCGATTATGTAATCGATATTAGTCGTTAAATAAATAAAGGATAAATGTGTTTTGATTCCCCAAATGTATTAATAGTGAAATGATCACCAAAAAATAAGACTTTTGATCTCCAAATCAATTAAAGAAGTTTAAATTAAAGAAAATATATATAAGATATATAGCAATTTAATAACAAATTAATTGCTAATTAATTAGTGGACAGACAAGAAAAAGAATATAAAGAGAATATATCCCCCTGGCCAAAAATAGTTAGACTAGGTATTTTCACTATATCGTTACTATAAATTCACATTTTGAGAAAAATAAGTATGTGTTCGGATAGTCCGTGGAATTCTCTACAACTCTGTATAAGTATGTTCTGAATCGCAGTTGTTCGCTAAAAATAAATATAAGCACAAGAAAGGCATCCTCATTCTCAGATTCCCGGGAAATTCATTTTTTTCCGTCATTCTTTCAAATTGTTTTTTTCTCGTTTTCAGAAATTTTTACGATACAGAGAGATAGAGATTTTCATGCGCTTTCAGAATATGTACTTAGTTTTCTAATGACTCGTTTCTGAATTAAAAAGAAATTAAAAATTTCTGAAAACGAAAAAAAACAATTTGAAAGAATGACGGGAAAAAATGAATTTCTGGGAAATCTGGGGATGAGGGTACCTTTCTTGTGCTTATATTTATTCTTAGCGAACAATAGGGTTGTAGAGAATTTGACGAGCTATCCGACTCTCTATTTACTTTGTCAAAACGAACAATTTATAGTGACAATATATGGAAAATATCGAGTCTAGTTATTTTTGGCCAGAAGGATATACAAGAAGAAGTGTGAACAGAAAAGGTCGTCCAAAAAAGGTTCGTACAGCTTTGTTGCTATAAAGTGAGTATTTTTGTTGTATATTTTTTCTTTAATGTAAATTAAGAATTGTTGTATACATATTCTTCGTCTATATACTGTCCGCTAATTAATGTTGCTATATATTAAATTGCTCTTCTTGTATATATTTTCTTTAATTTAAATTTCTTTAATTGATTTGGAGATCTAAAGTCTTATTTTTTGGAGATTATTTCACTGTTAATAAATTTGGGGATTAAAAGTCACTTTTTGGGGGATCAAAAAAATTGATACTCATAAATAAAACATGAAATTAAAGTCAGCTGCAATTAAAGTTTGATATTCAATTTCAAAATCATTGTTCAATTATGAAAATTTTCAATCACATCCAATTATTGCTTACTAGTTAATTAATTTGTTTGATCTGTCTGGCAACAATAGTTATTTTTTACATCTTTTTTTTATTCTACACTTGAAATTTAACTGAAATTGATCATCCGATAATTTAATCGGGTTTTAAACTATCACAAATATTTTCATTAATGCAATTCATTCAATCAACTATTTTAATGTTCTCCCTATTTTTTCTTTTTTTATATTATTTTCTCTATTGATTTCGTTGTATACTAACTTTCCTCTGCGAGAGAAACATTTGTTAAATTTAATAATTTTGATTACACTAGAAACACAAATAGAAATCCATACCGTTCACATTGTTCGAAACTAAAGCTCGCATTATTTATTTGACGTGATATGTAGATAGTTTACTTATGTTATAAATTAGTGTCAATTTTTTTGACAGGATCAGACATCAGGCGAAAGAAATGATATTACTCTCAGTATTTCCTTAATATTTCGGCCAAGGTTGATCGCCTAGTCTCAAATTTTTTTTGAAAAAGATTCCCCATTCAAATGTCTACAGAACTATGTGCTTTACTAGGCATATATGTATACAGATGTTTTTTCAGATAATGAAAAGTGAAGATCTACAAAAATCGTTCTTTCAAAGTACAAAAATGGTGGTGTTCCAACAAAGATATTCAGTGATTTAAACGAAGGTTTGTATCTTAAAACGGTCAAACGATGGTGCGAAATGGTCAGTGAAACCGGCTCTATCCAACTGTCACGTTCTTCCGGCCGTTCACGTCTTGTTCGAACATCGACAACAGTTCAAAAGATAAAGAGTTGAATAAAATGGAAAAAACGGATGTCAGTTCGAAAATTGTCTAGTGAGTTGGATATTTTCCAAACAAGTGTCAGAAGAATAGTCAAAAATTATCTAGGATATCATCTGTACAAGAAAATAATCGAATCACTTCTTACCGATGCGTACAAGTCCAAAAGAAAAAAAATTGCAAATTGGATTCGAACAAATTTTCGAAAAGAACAAATAATGAAAATTCTTTTTTCGGATAAAAAAACGTTCGACGTAGACGGTGTTTACATATCCCAAAACAATCATGGGCAGTGGACCGTGTCGACGCTGATAAAAATGGTGGTATTAAACAAGGGCGAAAATTTCCACAAAAAAATTATAGTTTAGTTGGGAGCATGTTTAAAGAGCGTAACGCCATTGATGATTCACTTGGATAAAGGAACAGTACTGTTCCTTTATGTCATATAGAGCAGGATTTAAAATCATGCTCGATATATACAGAGAAGTGCTTCCAGTTGACTTTTAAATGTGGTAATAGGGTCTTTGGACTATTGCATTTAGGATGAACCTGTTGGGGCTATCAATTGGAATAAAGTGACATAAAAACAACTTTGGTTGAAGAATTAGCTTGTGCAGTAAAAATAATTAGACAGAAAGTTGTTTTTGACAGTTTTTTAAAAAGATGAGACTAGGCGATCAACCTTGGCGGAGATATTGAGACAATACAGAGAGGAAAATTATTTCTGGCACACCTGTTATTTATTTTCTGAAAGAATTATTCTCTGGTAGAAACAAACGTTTACTTTAATGATTAAAAAAGGAGTCGATTGACTTTCTTTGTACTCATACGATGATTAAAGTTTAATCATCATATGACCTGTACATACGATGATTAAACTTTAATCATCATATGTACAAGTCATACGATGATTAAACTTTAATCATCATATGTACAAGTCATACGATGATTAAACTTTAATCATCGTATGAGTACAAAGAAAACCAACCGGCTATTTTGTTTTTCTGAACCCACTAATCATACGGAAGAAAGGTGATTCTTTCGGAGTGTACCACAATTACATAGACTTCATGCGAATCGTATAAGACTTTCTGAGTTAGTCGAACACATCACTCTAAGAATAACTGTCACCTCGAAAAACATTTAAAATGCTGGTACGGTATCCGGACGGCCTGCACAAAATGGGGTTTCCCAGCAAAAGTGAAGTATGAGCTAGCTCGTTCATTTTACTATGGAAAATTCCAAAAAAATTATCACATATATTACTCGTTGAGCTGATCATCTTTTATAGCGAAAACTTTTTTCCCGTGTTCTGTTTTGGGGAAAAATTACCCAGAATAGCTAGTATTGGGCATTTTTCCGATCCAAGTATCTCTGTGAAGGCAAAACGAAAATTTAACGTAAATGAGTGTTTTAGATTGGCCTGACTGTCCTCTATCCGACTGTGAAAGTTTTAGGTCTGTAGTGCTTTGTGGGACCGAGTGGTGAAGGAAACAATCAGAGCTACTGTTGAGATTTCACCAACTTTGGGCCCACTTCTGGGACAATCAGGGATTCGTAAGTAACACTGCATTTGGAACTTTATCTCTATACCTAGCATTACAATTCCTGAAAATATTGTCTTTGGCCAATGCAATTTGGCTGAGAAAAGCGTGCTCGAAGTTGTGAAAAATGTGATAATATTAGTTGGGAAATCGGTTCTTTTCATTGAAAAATTTCTTCCTAAGAGAATTTTTTACGCTAATCACGAATTTGATATTGATATGAGTGTTGCGTTTGACAGATATATCCATTACTTGGTTTGTGGTGTAAGACTGATTCGAGATTGTTTCCGTGTAGAGGCGAATCTGAACTATATTCATTCGGAACTTTGACGAGAGAGATTATTTTATAATCAAAAAGGTTTTTAATGTTGCGAAAAACGATTCATTCATCCGCAGACATATTCATCGTGGTCACCACTTCAGTCAATCCATAATTAACACGTTCTTGTGAAGTAACGAAGACAATATAAAGTGAAACATATAAATGTTCATTGTCAGCTCAAAGCTATAGAAATAAGAAGAAATAACTTTAGGACTTTTCTTCTAAATTCCACAATCATGTCTCATTAAGAAAGGTCTGGATTATTTTTTAAGGTTCTTGAAAAATTGGTTTTCTAGAAAATCGGGTCAGCAAGAGTCATGGGCACGAATCCTTTTAGGGTATTTACAACCTCACTGAGGTCTATCGATCCATGTACAAATCATTGGAATCGGAAGGGGACATCTCGAAAGCTTCCCTCATCAACCACATCGCATTGGCCATAGACAACATTTTCAGGAATTGTAGTGCTAGGTATGGAGATGAAGTTCCACTATGCAGCGTTACTTGCGAATCCCTGATTGTTCCAGAAGTGGGTCCAAAGTTGGTGAAATCTCAAAAGTATCTTTGATTGTTTCCGCTATAATTTTTTTAGAATTTTCCATAGTAAAATGAAGGAGCTAGCTCATAGTTCACTTTGGCTGGGAAACCCCATTATGCGCAGGCCGTCCGAACACCATGCCAACATTTTAAATATTTTACGAGGTGACAATTATGCTCAGAGTGATGGGTTCTACTAACTCAGAAAGTCTTATACGATTCGCATGAAGTCGATGTAGATATGGGCGGGACCGATGATTTTTAGTCCCGGTCCCGTGCAGTTGTTTCGGTCCCGTCTCCGTCCCCGTCCCGTAAACTTCTTTCGGTCCCGGTCCCGAAAGGTTGTTTCGGTCCCGGTTCCGGTCCCAGTCCCGTAAAATTATTTGGTTCCGGTTTCGCACGATTTTTATGGTCCTGGCCCTTAAACCAATTGCGCTCACATGGAAATAACACTGTATTAATGCCGGAAAATTCAAGAGTTCTCTAATCGACAGTTATTTGTTATTTGTCCGTTTATGGATGAGGTTATGCCGTATGTTTCTTCTTCTGATTATAATAGCAAAATAACCGGCGCATGCCTGCTTACATAAGTTTGATCACATTTACGGAACGTGATCATACGCGAGATGCTCAGTTGTTTTTTCTTTCCTTTTCTTAGTGAAGTACGATCACTCGTTACCCATGTTAGACAGTCACACATTCAAGCTAAATTATCCCTCGCATTGAATTTGTTTTGTAAAACTCGATGGAATAGCGCCTATGCAATGATAAACAGTTTTCTCTGCGTCTATTCTGAACTAAATCAGTTGCTCGTCGATCAAAACCAACGAATTCTTTTGGCAACAATCGATTATGATTTATTAGCAGAATTTGCCAAATATTTCTATTCATTTCGATGCGACCGAAAGTTTGAGCGCTGACAAACATCTGAGTATTCATCTCGTTATTCCATTGAGACAACAATTGATCAAATTATCTCAACCGGATCTTTATGATTGTGACGCAACAGCAAAATTAAAAGAATTTTTCGTTTTTGAGCTCGAATCCAAATGGGAAGTTAATGATGAACACTTCGTAGCAATGTTATTGCATCCCAATTTCAAAGAATGCAGGTATATACTTCGTCAAAAGCATCGTACACTATTAGTTCAAGAGAGGCTACAGGAAGAAATTATTTAGACATCTTTTTTGACTTTTCTAGTAATTGTTCTCAATTGAAAGATAAAGCATACGCTTTATTCAAACAAGAATTTGAAAGAAGAAAATCACTTATGAAACCTACCACACCAAAACGAGAGAAAAAAAGTTTGATAGCCGATTGTTACGATAAAACGTCAACAGATCTACGAGAAGAAACTGAATTAGATTTGTATTCGAATTTGTGTGTCACATTTGATCCTGACAAAGATGATCTACTCAACTTTTGGGCCAAACAAAGACAGAACTATCCCATTCTGAGTGCAATTGCTTGTGATCTTCTAATTATCCCTGCTACCAATACAACCATGGAGCGCCTCTTTTCGACCAGTGGAACTGCCGTTACACCAAAACGAACTCGATTGAATACATCGAAGGTCGATAAACTCATGTTTCTAAAGAAAAATCTCTTGTTATTGAAAAAACTTGATTGTATAATCGTTGGTAATGGTTTATTAACAGCTACACCATCAGATATGAAACGAAAACGAGATGAGATGAATGAGAGCAGTCAAGAGGATGTAGATGCAAATACTAATGATATAAACAGTCAGCTGGGTGATAATCTATTTGATGACATATAAACTGCCTTTTAAATAAAACTAGCTGCTTTTCTGGGATCTGAAACTGAGATTCTGGTGTTTTTAATAAAGTTTGCGTGGCGTAGATGGAAAGTTAAACGCGTAGAAAAGCACTGTAAGACTCTCTGACGATTTTCTACAACATTTCTATTTAATTAGGGAGAACAGGTGAAGTTATAACTGAATTTACGCAATTGTCAAAAATAATCTTAGTTCTAGTGTCGGTCCCGATTTGGTCCTGCAAAGAATGTAGATATTCTTGCTATTGCGGCAAACATGAATGATTCTCGGTTATTGCTTTGCCTACATAATATTTTATACCTCCAATACTATCGTTTCCTCCCTCGTGCACATGCGGACATCTACGATTTGAAAAGCATCGCTTGATTTCTAGTTAAAACTTCGATAAATAACAGCAAACTGAAACAAAAATTAAACGAGAAGAGATCATTACAAGTATAATCTGAAACTTGTCGTAACGAGATGATGGTATGGCAACGAAATAAGTAAATGGCGATTTTTAGCCAGTGGCTGTTAAAATCTGTTTGAGTAAGAAGAGAATAGAACCGTTTTTTGACTGTTTAGAAGACTTTTTTATCTGAAAGAACATATACAAACAATGAATATATTCGGTTCTATCTTACCCAAAAATACAATATTTTGTATTGATTGTTCCGGCAGCATGTACGTGTGTCTGTCAACAATAAAAGAACACATTATCGCGTATCTCAGAGTTCATGTGTCCGACTCTGCCACAAACTTGATGTTGAATTTCATTGAATTTCACAGTGATATTCGTCAATGGGCCGATAGAATGGTGTCCTGGAACAAAAATTCGATTCTCATTGCAGAAGAATGGATTCGCTCTTTAGCTGCCAAAACATCCACGAATACTTTAACAGCATTGTTGGCTGCATTTTCTGAGCCAATGTGTGAACAAATCATTCTGATCACAGATGGTATACCAGATCAAGAACCGTATTTTATCCTATGTACACTAAAAACCCTGGACAATCTAAAACCGTGCCATGTTTTCTATGTGAGTACACCAAATTCACAAAATACAAGCGAAGAAGAAACGATCGTGAAATTTCTAACCGATTTAGCAAAAATTACTTGTGGATCGTTGACAATTGTAAATTTTTCACAAACTGGTTCGTTAAAAAGTCTGGTGCCAGTAGTCACTTATTATCCATCACTTGTCGATAGTCTGTACATGAATAATCCCAATGTCATGTTTTCAAGTGAAATCCACAATGGGCAACTAATAGATGATTCTGTCATACAACTGTCGCCGCCGCCGACGATACTCTGGAGTAATACAGATGTGCCACTTACAGATAAGCACTATGAAATTGCTCATTCACCTGAAGTTGGATCGTTACTCATCGGTCAAGAAGTGTTAGCAAGAAAAGCAACCGATGGCTATTATTATCGGGGAAAAATTCTTAATCAGGTAAGATTGGAGAACTTGTTAGATGTTGCTTAAATCCGAAATTGAATCCTATTTCTTCCATAGTTATCTGCTTATCGGTTCATGGTGGAATTCGATCCTAAAACATCTGGTATCTATAGAGAACCCAATTTTCAAGATACAACATTATACGATATTATTCATTATCGTGATGCGTTGATGCATGCAATCAAACGCGGTGACTATGTTTTAGGTCCGATAGGCGATAATCAAGGAAGATACATGCCAGGAGAAGTGCTTGACGGTTTTGAAAAACGTTTATCATGTGAAAGTGTGTCTTCATTTACTAATTCTTTGTCTCTTCATTACAAAATTATTATTCTGCTTTAGACGGAGAAGAAAAATCATTAGTCATATACTTTACTGATGGAAAAACTGTTAAAATGAAACGATCGAACGATACCATATGGATATCATCGTCGCTGTACGTTCTAACAACGAGAAAAACTGTTCTAGAATTCATAACAATACTTGCTCTGTTTAAGATATGAACGAATTAAATTTGAATTGTCGATACCACCAAATGCTCGACAACTTTCAGAAATTCATTCTGTTTCTTATCCATCAAAGTTGCTCTCTAATTATCCAGTACAGCCATCCATCATACCATTGGCCACAAATAATTTGCCACTTTTTGTACCATCAATAAAATCCTATTCAACTAGTTTAGCACCTAAAAGAATAATCCCAAAGGATGAATTAAATCAAAGAGTGGATCTACAAATTGAAAAACATCGGCTATTGTTGAATGAAAATCAACAAGAAAGCAAAACTACTTTTTCTTCGGCAAGGTATTTTTATCTTTTTGTCTTAAATAGGTTCGGTCAAACATTGTCCTTGTTAATAGTGATATCAGTTTTAATACACGCCATCCGAATTGTTGTTTTCATTCTCATTGTCCATCCAAACATTTTCATTCTTATTCAACATCGCTAGCTTGTTGTTGTACTTCCACAACACCTTCGCCAGCTTGTTGTTGTACTTCCACAACAACAGCAAAATCTTCGAGATCCAAATCTGTTTGCTTTGGTGAACACTCAGTTAATGGTCGAAAATATTCCGTCGATGATGCCCATTTCTGTTCTCAATCACCATCAATAAAATCATATCCAAAATCATTAAACTCATCAACAAATTTTGTTGATGGTACTGAACAGCATGGATGTCAGATACCGTTAATAAATTTAGTTAAAAATTCTCCTACACACACGTCGTCAATTTCAAAACAGCATTTCAATAATAATGAACCAAAAAGGTCATCTTACGAATTTTATGAAACTAAAACTCCAATAACAACTGAATCTAAAACGATCAAATCTGCACCGGGTTTGTTCTTTATTTAACATATGTGTGCAAAATAGTTCGTTTGCACTTCTTTTGTTTATAGAATCATTTTCTCATTCTCATCATACACATATGGCAACTCAAAGATCAAATATGGGACATATGAACGAGCGAACTCAACGAGATATCAGAGACGAACTTCAAAAACAACAAATTGAACGTGAAGAATTTAAAAAACATCAAGCAAATGATGAACATCGACTAATCGTAAATCATCAACAACAACAAACAGATAAAGCCGAACAAATTTTAAATACAAAAAGATATCCGGAACATCAAGTAATATCAAATGGATACCAAAGGTATGTTACTCTTCATCTGACATAGTTAATAGTAATAATAGAAAGCAACGAGCGAGTATTTCATGACACATAGAGCACAATATGGTGGTCAAGACCATTTATGGTATAAACAGTCTCAATATGAACAAAGAAATTTCGATTCACATCAGCGACAAGCTGCTAAAGAACCAAAAGATGCCGAATTACTCGTAGGTGTTTTATTATAGTTTATGGGGTTTTATAAAGATTTATCATATTTTTTTGGATTTTAGCATCATCGGCAAACAAATGATATTTCACGCAATAAAGCCTACCATAATTCTGTATTAGCCAGTGATTTCGATCGTTTATATAAAAATGTTCTAAATAGAAAATTCCACAATAATTATGTGAGAAAAACAGGAGTATTACGTGATAGAGAACAGAAACGAAATGATTTTATCAAAGATGTTGGAAAAAAACATATGACATGGACAAATGCTACAATTTTAACCTAAAAAGGATTTCATTTCTACCTTATTTCTGAGGTTCGTCTATTTCTGCATGCGATAAATTTTTTGTGATAATAATGTGTATTTTTATAGAAAAATAACTTATAGATAGGGCCAAGAAAATAGATCCAATTTCAAATATCATATTCTATGTAAAATACTGAGGAAAAATAACGTGCAACTATACGATTGTATGTCATATATTAATTTAATATAAATTGAGCACATACACGAACATTTTATTACTATTACAAATTTTCGACACAGACAAAGAAAAAAGAGAAAATAAAATAAAAAAGAGCAAATAATTTATAGTACTTTTATAATCACTGAGTATACGAAGTAATATATGCATACGCACGCGCACACTAACCACATGGCACGTCATATACTTTTACTATTATTTAATCACTTTCTTATTCTTATTACCATAAAAAGTGAAAAAAGAAAACATTCATTACTATTTATGTATGAAATATGTACACAGATTTACTATTAGACAAATTATGAAATATTATTTGTCCAAAGTAGAGTATTTTTATACCTGAGAAAACTGTTGATTAAAATAATCGATTTTGCTAGCTCAGATCTTTACGTTTCTCTTACAATAAAAGTTCCTTTCTTCTCTGCTATTATCATCTAAGTCGAGAGATAATTCTAATGGGAGCATCACCATTTCATGATAAAATTCTATTGTTATATCCAACATTAATACTATTATTATTACTATATTGTGTTAGTTCACCAATTCTTATAGATATTTCAACATAACATTTCATGAATAATGCTTTGACTATATTAAACCTTCGTTTATCCATACATTTCATACCGATTTCATAATGTAAAACTTTAAGCAATTTATCAATTTTTGCTGTTTTAATCATCACTAATGAAGATGATGATGTTTCAATATCCGTATTAAATAGTGTGATAAGTAAAAATAGAATGACTGTAAATGAATGATCTGATGTGAGAAAATTATAAAGAAAATTTGTTGATGCTATTTGTCGTATATGATATTCACATAATTTGTATAGATCGTACAACTGTACATCGGTACAAATTCGTGTTTCATTTATATCTAGAGTTTTTAAGACGTTTTCAATAACATCGAGTAATGAATAATCATAATAATTACATGTTTGTTGTTGTGGTTGTTGACCGTTTTTTAAACAATTTCCTAGCCAATTAAATAAACGAATAATATGAGAACAATTAGTTTTATATAATTGCGAATCATTAGTCTCATTTTTGTCTAATTGATGGAAATTTCCAGTGTTCATCATGGTAGTGATGGTAAAATTATCACTGGTTTGTTTTATTCTTCTCGTTAAACGTTTGTTTGTTGTCGACATTCCCACTCTCGAACATTTTTCAAATCGACAAGCCCTGCAACCTTTGCGATTCGATTTATTTATATCTTGAGGTGAGTCACACGAATGTTTAATGTCGTGTATACCATGTAATACTCTTCGATAAAACACTTTACAGCTTTCGCATGTGAATGCACCAAAATGATAACCACTCGACTCATCACCACAGACTTGGCACACTTGTTTACCTAAAAAATAGCCTAATCGAAATGGCACAACGAAGAAAGGAATTACAGTAGTTTCTGGATGATGAGGAATCGTATTTTCTTGTTTTGTCCAACAACACTGATAAACCCTTTTCTTTCCATTTTTCGAAAGTCTACTCTGAAATATCATTGTTGATACTTACCATCTGCGCTCTGTATCTTGAAGAGAGATTTACATGGAGCTGTGGACGAGATGTTTAATGTCGAATTATAGCTTGTTGAATCTAAAGCGTTTAACGACTCTTGTGGGATTGCCAATGACGTCGGAGATATTAGCGTATGACATGGTAAAATTTGATTCTGATATAATGGAGAGTAATTATCTTGATAACTGTTGTTGTTAATCGGAAGAATAAAGTCACTACCATCGATCATTGTTGTCGATTGATGTGGAATAGATGATAGACAATGTTGTTGTTGTGGTTGTTGTTGTTTAGTATATGTTGTATAATTTTGATGAGGCAGAGAAAGACAATTCGAATGTAACGAAGTCCAGGCATCATCGACTGATACATTGTAGGACGTATACAGGCTATCATGTTCTCGTAACCATGTATTCGGTGATGCAGATATACCAAAACCTTGCGAGTTGTTGTAATCCTAATACATCAAATAAAAGAGTTAGTATAAATAAAGCAGCAATGAAATACAAATACTTACCAAATGATACATGCTATTGGGACCAACATTCGACATAGACATATCGCCACTTATCGTCATTGAATTCGCTTTTAGCATAGAACTTCTTTATTAACCCAGAAGGAAACATAGTTAATATCTGCTCAAAAGCATAACCCAAGTTCTTTGGATGAAGACAATAGGGACCGAGATTGGTTTTTGGCCAGAAAACGGTTAAAATTTTGACGGATTGTAGTAAAAAAAGATTCTACTGATAGTGATCAGCAAGCAAGTAAAACAGGTTCTTTTAAACTGATACGCTAATAAACTAAATTTAAACTAATGACGTAACTAGAATTTTTTTGGATGTACGGATAAACTTCCACTGAGTCGAAGAAAGGATTGGGTAGAACATTTTACGGCAAAAACACCAACAGAAACGTAAAAACTCAGGGAGGTGGCTGACACTCCCGTCCTCACGATCGGAACCACTGAGAGTCAAAATCTAAAACGAACATTAGTATTATAAACATCTTTCTTTTCTAATAAAGCAAATAACAAATGAAGAATTTTTCTGTCCATTTGCAACTTCATTTGTTCTGCGTTTGAATATCTGAATGAGGTCCTTCTCCATTACCAACGAAGCTCGATTTTCGAAGAATAAAACCTACAGAAGTTATGCTAATTTGCTTTACTTTTTTTGCTTTCGGTATTTTGCTATTTCAGAATGTCAGACGCAAGCTTTTATAAACTCATTTTTTCGTCGTTTTATACTCGAGTATCCAGTAAGAAACGTAGATCAAAATTATCTTCTTTAGATATTACGAACATTCGAACAATTCAATAAAATGTGTCAAGAATTTTCTATATCAAGACATCTGTCGGCTGGTTTGTAAACGTAGTGATGCATTTTGCTTCCATTTATATAACTAAAGTTTGATATTTCGAATAAGTACTACTTGGCTGCTTGATCTAACCTGCACGATAGTCAATCACACAAAATAAACAAATAGAATAAAAATAATTACAGTGTAAAGAAGAACTAATATACATATCACATGTGTTTGTCCAAACTAAACTTAAAACACCTATTCTATCTCGAGATAAATTACATACACACAAAAACTCCACAACTTAGCCAAATCAAAAAATAATCAAGTACAAAATCAGTACCTATATAAATGCATGCTGAAACAATCTTTTCTTCACTCCAAAAAACCCGTGCCTTTTTCATTCAGCCTTGTAGAAGTTTATTAAACTTTGAAGTTTAGAAATCAAAGGTTTCTTACAATTTTATCAATAAGTACAGAACAGGTGCGTTTTACACATTGACATCAACAACCCAGATCAAAGAATCTTGCTGATTCTTATAAGATTCTTGTATGATTTCGTAAGATTCTGTAAGAACATAGAAACTGATTCTTGATGTAAGATCTTATAATGAAATTTCGTAAGATTCTTGTCAGATTTTTATAAGATATTGATCTGATTTTTTGACATGGGAATATAAAAGAGACCATTTGCAGCTGTCAAAAACCCTCTACTAAACTTTTTTTGCTGACAGATAATAAAGCTTTAAGAAAGGTTTAGTAGAGCGTTTTTGATGACTACACTCTAAAAAAAATGCGACTTAAGATCAAATTAAGTCTTAATTAAGATTAATGTGCCTTATTTTGTGAAATTAAGACACATTAATGCGATCTAATTTGATCCTAAGTTGCATTTTTTTTTAGAGTGTACGATACCTTTTTTGCGACATTTTACCAAATCATAACGGGTATCTGATTGGGATACTTTGATTTAAACTTTATTCGAAACTTCTAAGAAAAAGTGTGCAACCAACAGCTGTGCTGTCATCGTAGGCACGACTGGGACACTTTTCTAAACCCGTTTAGGTTTTATACGCGACGCTTTTTTAAGAGCGTAGAACACACATATATTTAGATCTAAATGTAAAAAAAAGATACGTACGTATCTGAGAAATTGTATAGGTCAACTCATATGTAGAACAAAAACGCACGAATGCTGATCTTTCGTTCAAAATAGTCATTTTCTTTGATTAGAAGTCAACTGCGAAGGATGAGTGCTATTTTCAGAGAGGAAATTGCGGCTTGGAAATAGTTTTCAAGTTTCAGAGAGATTTAAAAATATACATATAGTCATTTCTTTTATTAATAATTTCTAAGTCTACATTTAGACTTGTATATCAAAATCACTAGACAAATTTAAACGGTTGTTGAAAACTATATGAGAATTCTCAAATTTGATAATAAGTAGGCTCAATTTAACAAAATGGATAGAGATAATACTCACTCCTAAATCTCCAGGAGTGGAAACATTTGACATTTCAATCAATGATTTAGCCTTACTGTCACGTACGATCATGGCTCATTCTTAATTGAAATCACTACTTTTCACTCACTCTCATTTTGCGCTCTGTTTGATGTTAATTTTAATGTTACGCATTTTATCAAAACAGTGATCGCAATTAAGAAGCCTCGACGGTAATAGTATCTTTCTTTAAAATATGTCAGTAGATGTAATTTGAACATTCTGAAAAGGTCCACTATAGTTATATCTAGGCATGTTACGAACTTCTGACTTTGTTTCGAAGGTAGTATATTTTCGATATTAAAAAGCCCCGAACTCTACCGCAGATCTGTGTCAGACATAACCAGTTTTGTGTGCTCGAGCCNGTGCGACATTTTATCAAACTTAAAAAAAATCGTCAGGTTCGATGAAGTTCGCTGAATACTGCAATTTTCGTCGAACCTGACGATTTTTTTTAAGTTTGATAAAATGTCGCACTATTTGGTAGAGGAGACAAAACTGGTTATGTCTGACACAGATCTGCGGTAGAGTTCGGGGCTTTTTAATATCGAAAATATACTACCTTCGAAACAAAGTCAGAAGTTCGTAACATGCCTACTTATATCACAAATATCCAACTAGAGATATTGCTAATTATATATTACTCAACACATTTTAATTCATAGATGAGAGAACATTATTGTTTTTATTGAAATACCGGGTGGGACATAGAGAACAGGCCAGAACCCTTTTTCAGGGCAGTTTCTATAATTTGGAGACTCCGTTTCTAAGCTCATTCGATAGAAAATTTTCCGCTCTACAAGGCTGTCAAGTTAGATTATTGAACAAAAAAAAATTTCCTTGGGGTAATATTTAAAACATCACTACATACTGCGTCACTCTGGAAAGTAAAAAGTCCACCTCAAAATATAAACAAACGTCCCACTAAAATTCCAAGTATAAAATAAAATTCTGCGCTACATTCTGCTTTTTCTGGTGTATGCAGCGTAATTTTAGAGCAAAGTCTCGTGTAGAAATTCTCTCTTTGGAAATGCCATTTGAAACTAAATTCTATTTAAAAGCTGGAGATGTCTTAATTATTGGGGAAAACGGCGCAGCAAAATAGTTCTAACCATTGTTTAAATTCAAATACGACTTGAATTCATTGCATATTGACATACACTTACCTATTAGTCCATTTTTTTTTTAATTTTGTTATACTCAAATAGCATGTTTAAAAAACAACAACAAAAAAAACAAAATAAAATGTAATTCTGGTAATCCTTTTCGGTTGAGCGTTTTATGCACTATGCAACATAGACTTGTCTGCAAGCATAGCTGCGTTTGTTTGTTGAAGTTAAATGCAAGTATTTTTTAATAAACAAAAACAAGTTTAAAAAAACAAAAACAAAAAAAAACAAATTTCCAACACTGATCAGGTCGATAGAAGACAAAATTCTCTATCGTTTGGTCTGAAAGAAGTTACTCCTGAGATCAATTTGATGCACGGAAAAAGTTTTTTGAAGAGGGAGAACAAGCCTATCGCAGTATGAACATTGGGTATGTAGTGATGTTTTAAATATTACTCCAGGAAAAATTTGTTGTTCGACAATCCAACTTGACAGTTTTGTAGAGTGAAAAATTCTCTATCGAATGAGCGTAGAACGGACTCTTCTAATTATAGAAAATTGCCCGAAAAACAGAAAATGATTCTGACCCGTTCTTTATGATCCACTTGTTATAATATTTTCTTTATCAAAGATTTTTGACAGTGTATATGTAGACTTCGAAGAGCGTAAAGTAAAATTGAGATTACTGTAGGTAAGAAAATGGTATCAAAAATCAATCATGAAATCATTTTCAAGATGACATTCAGTTTTACTGATAAAAATTGATAAATAAATCTATCATGATCATCATCTATCAATCTATCATTGCTTTCATGTATCGTAGGTCATTAATTCATAGTTATATCGCCTATACTAATAATGACAACATGTCTTAATAAAGCCTTCATCACTATCATCATTTCTCACCTTTCGTTCGCTTTCTCTTAACCCTTCATAGCTATCGTGGGGTCCACGTGGACTCACTTTGCAGTGTTTTGTTTCTTGCTACGTTACTATTAAATCTTTCAAGCCACTTCCTTCTGTAATCATTGGTATATTGTTCGTGCACAAGAACCTTTCTAAATTTTATCAATATGTCTTAAGGGTAGAATTTTAGAATATGGGTCCACGTAAACCCCAGGACAGCTACGGTGTTATAGTCATGACTTAAAGTCCCGTTTGAGCTGCCCTCTATTGTTCTGGTAACTCTCTTAGGAAAGGCATTCGTTGGATTGTCATCACTTAATTTTTCTCTCGACTTCTCCTAGTCGTAAGCCCGGTTCTTTAGTTAAGTGAGCTAAGAAAGCTATCTCAGTATCCTAAATTAAACAAAGTGCCAATTCACTAGATGTGGTATATTTAACGCGGCGCCTCATGCCGAAAGTCAAACTTGCTCTACAATGTCTCGGCTATGATCTCCAGCTGAATACAAAGAAGGACCACAACGTTAATACGAATGTGAATCGAGCGAAGAAACGATGCTATCTTTGCCCAGCACAACTTGGACGTAAGATTCGACAAATATGTGATGGTTATGGGCAGAACGTGTGTCTTTCTCATGCCAATAGCATCACAACGGTGACCTGTCACTCGTGTCACACGTGATCAGATGAGACAGCGTATAGTGAACAAGCAAAAAAATATATACTAGAACAATAGCAATAC